TATTTTTATTTTAATATTTAATTAGATCATGGGTAAAAATATATGGGTAAAAAAACTAGTATGTAATTAAAGGTGAAATGGTGTATGCATGCTAACATGTACGTATTATTAATAGCTAAATAAAATAAGAAAAATTTATGAAATGTTTAAACTAGAAATAACAGGTACTGGAATTGTGATATTAATTAAGAAACCTAACTAACTAATATTCCGTATGACTACTATATATAAAGCTTATTAGGGTTTCTATTTCCATCCATCTCAATCATTTTATTACAATCATTATCACTTAGTCCATCACTAGCTACAGGGTACGTACGTGTGCTGCAAGTCGACGCACTAGGTGCAAGGTATATATGATATCGATGGAGGCAGGTGGGCGGTGGATGATGGATGGCACGGCGGCGTCAGCGTGGACACCCGGCGGCGATGATAATAACCACCATTTCTTGGGTGTGGGGTACCGGTTCCGGCCGACGGACTTGGAGCTGGTGGATTACTTCTTGAGAGGGAAGATTATGGGTGTGCCCATCACTCATCCGATCATTCATACCATTAATATCTACGAAACCCATCCCAGGGACATTCTTTGTAAGTCCATTATTTATTCATTTCCATCTTATTCATTTATTCATGATCGATCACAATTGATTATACTTCAAATATATTCATGATCGACTATTATTAATTTCATCGTTTTATTAATTATATATTCACTCGATCAGTTATATATATATATATATATATTGCAAATAAATAAATCTGAAATTGAATTGAATTGGATCATATCATCAGGCAAGTACGGGACAGTGGGAGAAGATGCATGCTATTTCTTCGTGAAGCAGTCAAGGAAACGGCCGAGCAGGAAAGCCGGGAATGGGTATTGGAGGGCATCCGGTTCTCATCCGGTCCGGGCCGGAAAGAAGGAAATCGGGTCCAAGAAGACATTTGCATATCACGAAGGCTTTCAACAAAAGAGTGGTTTCAAGGGACTGAAAACGGACTGGCTCATGCAAGAGTTTACTCTCAATCATAATACTGTAAGTTCATGACATACTAATAAACGCAGCTATTATTAGTTAATTAATTAAGGAAGATCTAGCTAGATTATCGATCATATCATATATATTGATGAATTTTTTTAACTTTGACTAAGGTTGACCAATGTATGTAGGTACGTAATAACTTTCAATTCATTTTAATTTGTTGCAGGGAGATGACTATGTGCTGGTAAAGATTTATTATCACAAGAAAAATGGAAAGGAGAACATCACTTATGATGAGGAGGAGGAGGAGTTCAACAATAATTTAATTACCACACCATCAGATACACATCATGATGATCTACTTGTTCCTGCGGCTAATAACATGGAGCAGCCCGCCTTAACTATCACTGGTGATCATGAAATAATTGATGAGACCATGCTGAGTAGTTCATCACAGCCCATGGCCATGTCCACTCAAGACTGTATGCAGTGGCTTGATCAATTTGATCTCGAAGATGAACTCAAATTGATTATGGGTTCAAACTTTTCTACCAAAGATTTTGAGGATAATGGGTTCAACAATAATTGTACCACACCATCAGATCTGCTTGTTCCTGCGGCTAATAATATGCCCTTCACTATCACTGGTGGTGATGAAGCTGTTGAGACGATGATGACCAGTTCACCACAGTCCATGTCCGATCAAGATTGTCTGCGCTGGCTTGAGAACTGCTTGTTGGCTGACTGATCCGAGATCCATTAATGCATGTGAGCGGAATGACTTGTACTATGTAATGGTGATCAGAAGAGTACAATATTAATGAGAATGAGAGAAGGCTTGGACATTAGCCTAAAAAGTCCCGTGGTTTTCTCCCTTTCGGGTTTCCACGTAAAAATCGAGTGTTCATACCAAATTATATCTATATTTATTTATTATATCGTGTTAGATTAAACTAATTTAGCTAATTAATTTAACTTAATGCGTCACTACGATTAAACCTACGTATAACTAACTAATTTTCACTAAATTAAATGAAATTCACATAATTCACAATAATAATTCATCACACTTAAATAATGTTTCAATTAATTAATCCTAACTTAAACCATTATAAATCCTAAATTAGGCATTAGCAATAATTATGTTTCAATTGACCATTCTCTCCTAACTATATGAAAATACGGAATATATAGGGTACTTCTAATCAATTTGTTCATCTCTTGGAAAAATTTATTTTTGACTTTTCACAAGTGAAAGAAATTATATAATGCATTAAAGCCAAGAAATTTTTAATAGTACCTTAGAACGTGCGTACGTAATTTAGGAGTATTTTGGTAGTGTACTCTACTTTTTTCACAAATTTTTGCATCCGGGCAGAATTACTTTAACGGCCAGTAGTGATCTAAAGTCCAAACAGTAGTTATATGATGTGAAACTAATGATATTGAGGATATGTTAACTTAAGAAATTCGTGCAACCAAAGTTTGCACTATTATATTGCATATATGTGTCAATCATGTATGCATGTAAACCACTTAGATTACTCCATGAGATACATTATATATATGGTCAATCATCTAGGTTCTTTTAATTTTAGTTATAGGTAATTAAACCCTCAGATCAGTTTTGATTATGATATTCACAATTCCGTCTAAAATGAGTTTAATAAGTACATTCCGTGAGTTTTGACTTTCATGTTTTTACTGTTGATCACTAATTTGATCATTAAGGCAATTTAATGGATGTTCCATTCCATCATTTGAAACGGTGCTAAAGATTCATTGTCTTTTAACTTGAACATATGATGATATAAAGTAAAGTGGTTAACTAAATCGGAAGCATTATTTTTTAGCTTCAAAATATGATGAAATAAAGTAAAGTGGTTCACTAATTAAATCGAAAGCAGCAGTCAGTTCATGCAATTTTCGACGTGATTTTCACCATGAGTCATCCGGAAATAGTCTCTTTGTCTCTACAATATAATAAGCATGAATGAAGGTTAGGGTGTTGTGGGTAAAAAAAAATTGTTGGTGGTATTTTGAGCTTGGTTGACATGTACATGGTGCTTTAATGGTTGTAAACTCTCACCTTGAATTGCGTTTGGCCCTCAACAATCCGTCTCCTTCCCGTTAATGCCCGTTAGTATTAATCTTACGAGCGGCCCGTGTCCGTTTCCGTCTTCCTATCCAGCCCAACAGGCCCAGCGGTTCCCAATCAGGAATCTCCCCTCCCTCCTTGTCCGCAGTGTATAGCCGCAGAAGACCATTGTTCGCTCGGATCGGACTGGAATCGCGCTTCACCTACACACGCTCACCCTCCCTCTTGGTCCGCACATCCCGCTCAGTCCTTTCGTCTTCCATGGCTTTTGTCTGTAAGTTTTTCCCTCAATTGATCATAACTCTCACATTTATTATCCTGTTTAATTCCAGCACATCGATCCTTCTCCTCTCCATGGGAAGTTATGGAAATCCAATGGACTGGGTCATCTTCACTCCTCTTCCCTGGGCGTATAAAACCATGCTGTTCGGTAGGCAGACATTTTTTCCCGCAGTTTCAAGGTTCTCCAGGTGTGTCTTCTTCCTTGTCTGTACTTCACCCAGCTTTCTGAATTTTCTTGACCTAAATGTAGCATTCTGTTAAATTTTAGTCCATATTAGGTTGGAGTTGTGAATTCTACTCACTCTTCACTAACATCCTGTGGTACAACAACCTGCCCCTTCACACTTTTACTTTTATGTTTTGGTTTCGTTAGTATAATTTGATAGAGGATTTTGCATTCAAGTATCTGTTTACATACTACGTAGCTAGAAAAGGCCTCTTAGCAGTCTGTCAAACATGTCTTTTTGCAAAAAAAGATGAAACTACAATTGACAATGTTATGGAAAATAGATGTTTTCTAAATCATCTAAACAGAATACAAAGGTCATTTCAAAGGTCTAACATATACAAGCCTTAACGAGCTTTAAATCCGTCTAAAGGCCTTGGCCGAACAGTATACTGAGTGTTTTAGTCCAAAAGCATATGTCAACATCTGTGTTTGCCATGTATAAACAAGTATGAAGAACTAAGAACTTATACCAGAGATTACTTTTTATGAACGCCAAAGCATTAATGTAGTCGCTCTGATTTATAATGATTATTCCACATTTGAGGTACTCTAATATTAAAATATGAGTATTGCCCATCATTACCGGCCTCCTGAAAATCTTTTTTTTTAATAAAAAAGTTGAACTCCAAATTGGCATTTCATTTTACTTATTCTTTTATTTAGTGATGTTATCTATACAATGTAAAGAAAACTCAAATGATATGCCTCCTAAGCCATACTGTAAAGAAACCTCATTTTGTATGTTTAAGGTAGACGGTGGTGATGCCTAGCCCTGCCGTGAAAGCTTTGAATGCCCAATCCCCTGCCTTGCTTGCAACTCCCATTCTCTAATGCAACACTTCTCTGGGCATAAACAAGAACCCTAATTACGTTTAAGATTAACCGCATTATTAAATCAAACTAAGAATCGTTAGTATTTATTTGTGTATTAGACATTTCTCGCTACGTTTACGGTACTTCTTATGAAATTAGGAAAACATGATCAACCCCTTATGAATCAGACATAGGAATTGTCTCTCGAAGATGCAGTAGAGGGAAAAAAATTAATACATACCAGACAGACTATCTCCACCATGTTTCAGATCTTTGAGATTCAAGAAATATACTTATACTTATTTCTCATCTCTTCATGAATCCCAACTTATTACCAATTTCCTGAGCATCAATACATGTATCTGTTTGGGACAACTCTCTTCCCAGTATAAGATATGTCTGCACATTAAGAGAGCAATTCTTGGATTCCATAATGTGTAGAAGCTTCATACACATTCCTGATTCCCCTTCCTTCAGCAAACCATCGACCAGAACGGTCCAAACAATCTCATCACAGTTCCTTTTTTGCTCAAGAATGCTCCTAAACACATCCTCTGCTTCTTTCAGCCACTTAGCTTTACAGAGAGCTGAAATGAGTAGCCGGTATATATTTAAGGAAAGTATAACACCTCTCGAAGTCAGAGAACGGAAAATTTCAAGAGCGGGCCTCACATCCAATCCCTTGCAATAGGCACACAAAAAGTGAGCTTTTCATTGTATCATCTGGACATAAGCCTTTTCCCTTCATATGCGTAACCAACTTCTCAGCCTCATCAATTTTACATTCTTTACAAGGCCCAACCGCTAGGGTAGAGAATGTATCTAAATTTTTCAAGCTTCTCCAGGTGTGTCTTCTTCCTTGTCTGTACTTCACCCAGCTTTCTAAATTTTCTTGACCTAAATGTAGCATTCTGTTAAATTTTAGTCCATATTAGGTTGGAGTTGTGAATTCTACTCACTCTTCACTAACATCCTGTGGTACAACAACCTGCCCCTTCACACTTTTACTTTTATGTTTTGGTTTCGTTAGTATAATTTGATAGAGGATTTTGCATTCAAGTATCTGTTTACATACTACGTAGCTAGAAAAGGCCTCTTAGCAGTCTGTCAAACATGTCTTTTTGCAAAAAGATGAAAATACAATTGACAATGTTATGGAAAATAGATGTTTTCTAAATCATCTAAACAGAATACAAAGGTCATTTCAAAGGTCTAACATATACAAGCCTTAACGAGCTTTAAATCCGTCTAAAGGCCTTGGCCGAACAGTATACTGAGTGTTTTAGTCCAAAAGCATATGTCAACATCTGTGTTTGCCATGTATAAACAAGTATGAAGTACTAAGAACTTATACCAGAGATTGCTTTTTATGAACGCCAAAGCATTAATGTAGTCGCTCTAATTTATAATGATTATTATTCCACATTTGAGGTACTCTAATATTAAAATATGAGTATTACCCATCATTACCGGCCTCCTGAAAATCTTTTTTTTAATAAAAAAGTTGAACTCCAAATTGGCATTTCATTTTACTTATTCTTTTATTTAGTGATGTTATCTATACAATGTAAAAAGCTTGGATGAAGGAGGGTATTGTGGATATAAAAAATTTGTTGGTTGTATTCTAATCTTATTATTTTACTTATATATTATTATTTTCTTTGGTGATGTTATATAGGTATATCTGTTGTATGTGGATGACATTTTTTTTCGAAGGGCTGTTATATATTTTTTTATACCAAGAAACCCGGTTTCTTACCAAATGCTCTTTGACTTGTGTTTCCTATAGGGCTGACCACATTGGAAGCGATCTTGTGCAATCATTATTCGTTTTCAAAGGTATGTCATTTTAACGACAAATTTTACTACCATTACTTGCAATTATTTTTATTTCATAGTCAGTAGACTAATAGTATGACCTTTCATTGCTTTCCTATCAAGGTAAGGACATTTAAATTTCCTTTGATATATCATTTTTATTTAGAGTTGTGTTAGAAACAGTTTAAATTATTACTACTCTGTACATTTTAGTTACCTTTCCTGTTTCTTTTCTTTTTAATTTTAAATCTTAAAATTAATCAACCAGTTTGAATTGTTTAACAATTACAACTTTCACAATCTGCCCTAAACCCTAATCTAGAGGGTACCCATTACACAGGAGCAGAATGTCCAAGATAAATAATTCGAAAGTTTCAACTTCTCTTCAATCATTGTGTACCTGGGAAGAAAAGAAAACAATGTGAAGAAATTCAATAACGATGAGTTTGCTCTTGTTTTAAAATGAAGGCTCTTTTAATATGTGCTCTAATAAATCTGTTCTTTTAAGTATTGTAGTAAACTGTTATATAAGGCTAAAGCCAATCTAAGGGTCACTCAAAGAGGCATAGCAAGCTGTTCTACTTCTAAATCTGTTCTTTTAAGGCTTGTTGAGTTAGTATTTTTAAAGTTAGAAGTGTATCTTAAAAAGTTAAGAGCACGCTTTGCTTTAAATCAAGATCAAATGCAAGTCATAATGTTTTTTTTTTTGCTTTAAAATCTCCCTAAAGATGTAGTACAATAGAAGTAATACTAAGATTGAAACTATCAAAAACACCAGTACAACAAGGTGATACTTAATTTAGTTATTTTCTCTATTTTCCTTTATTCTTAGATAGCAAATGCAATTGTTTTAGTTAGGTGGTGCTGCAAAGTCCCCATGATAATAAGTACATAAAAGTCATATAAACATAGTTAATAGACACAGTTAAATAAGAATACACTCAACTATCATATTTTCCGTGAACTCAGTATGATTGCCTATATCTTAATGAAGCGTTTCTCGATGTTTAGTTCTATTCTAATGAACAATATAATGGACCTATAGTGTGAAGAGTATCTAAATAGAAAAATATGAATAAAAAGTACTAAGTACAATCACAAGACCAATTCGAAAAAAAAAAACTGAAACTGTCCCCAGGAATGCTAGGAAAGCCAAAGAATCTTTAATATCACTCCATAGTTGAACCGCAGTCTACTTGGGAAGTCAAAACGTTTCTATTATCCAGACCAAAAATCTTGCAAATTCTAAATCACACGAGAAAAATAATATTAGCATATGAAAACACAAAAATTTTGCATTGCTTCTCCTTAAAGCTTATTAGAGCAGATAACTAATACTCAATATTGGTATGAAGACTATTATTGGGTTCATGACTTCATATATATGACAGAACCAAAGCTCTTACTACCTATTTGGCATTGATAATTGGTTAATTGTTCTTATCGATAGAATACAGAGATTAATTAGAATAAGTAGTTTTCCGGTTACTTATTTGATTAAAATGGAATAAGTAGTCCATATTCAGGGATGCTAATAAATTAGATACGAGTTCACACCAAATAAGATCACTGGCTCATGTTTGGTGAATCATTCTTGAACACCAACTCACCAAGTGATGTTATATACGTGGTATATCTGCACGGATGTGGCTTAGGAAGGTCTGGGAGTCTGGGACCAACTGATGTTATATACGTAGTATATATCCAAGCATGTGGCTTAGGCAGGTCTGGGAGTCTGGGACCAAGTGATGTTATATACTCCTTGAATTACATGGAATTGTGATGAGCAGACAGAAACCATTTTAGTACTTAAGACTACTTAATACTACCTCTGTAAGTTCATTTAGTAGTATAAAAGACTTCTAAGACTCTGTTTAGTACCTCAACTACTTGCAAACCCACTAAACACAACTTTCTGTTTTCACCATGTTCGTGTGACCTATATTAACATGACATTCTTAAAGCCCACAATCATTTCAATCTAACTGTGTTCAAATCTCAGGATGTTTAAAAAACAGAAAAGAAAAGACTAAATATAATAAACTTAGAAATTTACATCCCTCACGAAACAAATCACATGGCTGCAACTTATGATTTCACTGCCTTACAAAAGAGCATTATATTATTTCTATCATAAAAAAAGCGTATGACAAAATATGTCTTTGCCATTTACAGAAAAGAATGGAGCGCTAAAACCTTATACTACAAAGTACTTTTTGTAAAATCAAATGCATTAATTTAGTTTTCTCTGTTCATAATGATTGCTCCACAACTCAGGTGCTCTAAGATTAAAATATGAGTATTACCCATCAATCCAGGCCTCCTGAATCCTAATAAAATATGATTACTCCACATTTTAGGTAAAAGAACTTTAGTACTACCGGGGTAGTATTTACAAGTAATCATTGACTATTTATTTTTCTAAATTCAAAAAAATTAAAATATTAATCTACCCCGGTCGTGTTAGCATTCAAGGTCTTAGCCTTAGCTGATCTAGACTGACGTGTCCAAACAAAGTTGTAATAGAGATGGATACCTCAAGAATTTATCATTTATCTTATCCCATTTCCCATGTGCCTTAAAATTAAACATTGGTTGTTCGCTTTATATTTTATAACGATATCAAGACTTTCTTTTAGTAAACATAACTTAAAAAACGATCTGAATTTACAATACCAATGGGAAAATTTTACACATACTTTATGCATTTTGTTTTGGAACACTACTTTTGTGTGTATGTTGATGGGCATATCTAAAGTGTGATCGAAGTCATAAATATGTAGTTTTTGGTGGTTAATATATAGCAAACACAACACTGCGCTGTAGACATGGAATTGCCCAACAATGACCCACCTGAATCCAGTGACGCGGCAAAAAATCGAAAAAGAAGGGAGCGATATGCGTCAAATGAAGAACGACGCGCTCAAATAAACTCACAGCGAAGAATTGCCTATGCAACAATGGACCCAGAAAAAAAACGCAAAATGCTGGACGAGGCTAATAAAAAACGTAGGGCCGCATATCATGCGTCTAAAGCCTTATCCAACCAACGTCTTCCCTTTGGTATGATGTTGAACGTATATTCAATCATAAAACTGCCCTATTCCTTCAAAAACCTGATTCGTTTTTCTTTTTCTTTCCCGAAATGTATGTACTAAGATAAACCACAGGCAGCACAAGCGGAAATTTTTTCAGCGGACAACAGGGTGGCGAACCTGCCTGGTGATACAAGTGTCACACAATCCTTGATTCCCACATATAGCATGTCACTTCCCTCAGAACCTTCTCTGCTTAAACAATGTCTACCGTGCCACCATTGTGAGGCCGTGCGCATTCAATATGAATCACCGGGATTTTGTTGCTCAGCTGGTCAAACTGTTTTGGTATCTAACAAGATTCCTCCAATCTTGAAACGATACTTCTATGATCATGACTCCGTTGCTCGCCAATTCAAGGCATGTGTACGCACTTACAACAACACGTTTGCCTTCACATCTCTGGGCGTACACAACTACGACAGAGATTTGGCACGCAGGAATAAGGGCATATACACATTCAAGGTACAGGGTCAAATGTATCACTTCATTAATGATTTGATACCTGACAGCGATCGACCTAAAAACCTGCAACTATATTTCTTTGATACGGATCACGAGGTCCAAAATAGAGTGGAAGGAGCAGAAAGGATGGATAGTAGCATCGTGAGGGACCTTATAACCGTTCTTGACAGCAACCCATATTCACAATTCTTTCGAAGTCTTAAAGATGTATCCAACTTAGAAGATTGTAACATTGTCATTAGATCCAACATAAAGGTGGATCAACGAGTCTACAACATGCCAAGTGTGTCTCAGGTGGCAGCAATTTGGATTGAGGACTCAGATGCCGGGGGTGAGAGTCAACGAGACATACGCGTGTACGCAAAAAGTGGAAGATCACATTCAGTGCAATACTACTACGGTTGTTATGATTCGTTACAGTACCCACTCCTTTTTCCCTATGGCGAGAGCGGTTCGCACGCGGGAATACCAAAACTTCCCAAACAGGTCAACCCACGCACACGACAACCGACCATGCAACCAACCAGTGTGACCTCAATAGACATGTTGTTTGAGAGAGAAGCTCAAAATAATGTTGCTGCTAACAAAAGGGACAATGTGTCATGTCGAGAGTATTATGCATACCACTTCCAAGTACGTCACAAAGATGAGTCTATCGTTCTCCACTCCGACAGACTCTTCCAGCAATTTATTGTGGACATGTACATAAAAATAGAAACCCAAAGGTTGGATTACTTCAGAACCCAACAAAGAGACGTGCGAACAGAATGCCTCCAAGGGCTAATGGATAGCATAAGCGTTGGTGAAACAAAGGCATGCAATGTTGGGCAAAGAGTTATCCTACCTACATCTTTTATTGGGGGGCCGCGTGACATGCGCAGAAGGTACATGGATGCTATGGCACTTGTCCAACGGTATGGGAAACCAGACATTTTCCTCACCATTACGTGTAATCCAAACTGGCCGGAAATCAAGGAATTACTGAAGCATTCCGATGAAGCCCAGAACAGGCCAGATTTGATTGCACGCGTGTTCCGTGCTAAAGTCGAAGAATTGAAAATAGAAATCATAAAGAAAAAAATATTTGGGATTGTTGATGCATACACTTACGTGATTGAGTTTCAAAAACGCGGCCTTCCCCATGCCCACTTTTTGGTAATATTGCGAAAGCAATATAAACGGAGGACGGGTGATGAAATTGATGCAATCATTAGTGCTGAAATTCCTGATCCACAGCGTAACAGTTACTTACACTCTTTGGTCGCCAAACATATGATGCACGGCCCTTGTGGAGAAATGAACCCCGAAAATCCATGCATGATAACCAAAGAGGGTGCACTACAGTGCAAAAGTAAATACCCAAGAGAATATTCCGATTCTACAAAAATGGGAGATAACGCATACCCTATCTACAAACGCCGTATGAACTCCATAGTTGTCAGTGCACGTAAACACGAATTAGACAATAGGTGGGTTGTACCCTACAGCGCATATCTATTAGCTAAATTTGATTGTCATATCAACGTGGAAGTTTGTGCGGGGATAAAGAGTGTGAAATATATATACAAATATATATACAAAGGCCATGATAGAATTGCTATTAACCTCTCCGCCGAAAATGACGCCAAAGTGGTTGATGAAATTGAGGAGTACCAAAAGGCACGTTGGGTATCACCCCCCGAGGCAGCATGGAGAATCTACAGCTTTCCTCTCTCGGAAATTAAACCGTCTGTTATACACTTGCCGGTGCACTTAGAAAATTATCAGTACATGAGATTTGACAAACGGCAAGACATAACGGAAATTGTAGAATCTGAGCAGAACTCTCAAACCATGTTGACTCAATTCTTTTCCATGAATCACATGGATGAAACAGTCGCCAGGTTGAACCTCCTATACATCCACTTTCCCGAGTATTACGTGTGGTCAACCAGAGAGAAAAAGTGGCACCCAAGGCAAAAACGGGAGGTTATAGGGCGGCTTGTGAGTGTGAATCCAACCGAAGGGGAGAGGTACTACTTGAGAATTTTGTTGATGAATGTGAAATCACCGCAGTCATATGAGCATATAAAAACAATTGGTCAATACACTGCTGCCACGTTTAGAGAAGCTGCCGAGAAACTTGGGTTACTACAATGCAACCAGGACATTGAACACTGTCTTGAAGAAGCCACGTGTTGGCAAATGTCAACCACTTTTCGCAGGCTGTTTGCGACAGTCTTGGCTTTTTGTGATGTTGCTAACCCAAAGTCGCTCTGGCTGCAGTTCAAGGCACACCTTTGCGAAGACCTGATCAGAACTTGTCCAGATATATCTCAGGCGGAACACAAATGCCTATTGTATTTGAATGACATCCTCTTGTGCCTAGGGAAAAATATCAATGACCTAGCAATTGTTTCATATCATGTTGGGATTACAAAAGAGCAACGAGTTCAAAAAGAAATCCTGGCAGAGAGAGGTCTGTTGCCAACGGATTCTGATATTGCCGCGATTGCAAAAATGAACACCGGTCAGAGGTCCGCATTCGACACTATAATCAAGCGTGTTTACTCTGACAAAGGCGGGACATTTTTTGTCGATGGCCCGGGGGGCACCGGCAAGACTTTCCTGTATAGGTGCCTTTTAGCAAAAGTTCGGTCGAATCGTGATATTGCCCTTGCCACAGCAACTTCAGGAGTTGCTGCATCTCTATTGCCGGGCGGCCGAACAGCACATTCACGGTTCAAAATCCCAATTAATGTTGAAGACAAATTTGTTTGCAACATAGGAAAGCAAAGCGCAGAAGCATCATTAATACGTGATTGCAAACTAATTTTATGGGATGAGGCTACGATGGCAAATCGGAGAACTGTAGAGAATGTCGAGACGACTTTGCGGGATATCACAAATTGTGAAAAACTCTTTGGGGACAAGGTCGTGGTTTTTGGCGGGGATTTCCGACAAACATTACCTGTGATTAGATCCGGCAGAAAGAAAGATTTCATTGAAGCGAGCTTGGTCAATTCTCATGTCATATGGCCCTTCACTGAAAGGTTAGTCTTAACCGAAAACATGAGAGCGATATCTGATCCGGGCTTCAGTGATTACTTAATGAGAGTAGGCAATGGAATTGAAACATATGTTTCCGACTCAACAATTGCTATTCCACATCATTTTCTCATTCCATACACCGGCGATGACGAGTCCTTGAATGCACTAATACACCATGTGTATCCTGATATGTCAAAGTTTTGTGACGACCCGTACCCATTGATGCGCCGGGGTATCCTTACCCCAAAAAATGAGTATGTCGAGAACTTGAATGGCATATTAATCCATCGATTGCCCGGGGAAGAGCGGTGCTACGTTAGCTACGATGAATTGCTCGATTCAAGCACATACAACGAATACGGTGATTTCCTAAACACCATTTGCCTACCCGGTTTACCCCCCCCATAAATTGGTACTGAAGAAAAACTGTCCGGTGATTTTGCTTAGGAATCTAAACCCGGCAGAGGGCCTATGCAACGGCACGCGTTTGATATGCCACGAATTTCGTGACCATGTCATTAGTTGTTCCATAGCATCCGGTGAGCATGTGGGAAAACATGTGTTCCTGCCAAAAATACCTCTCCAACCATCAAGCGATGACAACTGTCCCATACCATTTAAGCGTCATCAATTTCCTATCAAACTATGCTTTGCCATGACGATAAATAAGTCTCAAGGGCAAACATTTGACTACGTCGGCGTATACCTAAGGGAACCGGTTTTCTCGCACGGGCAACTGTATGTTGCAATGTCAAGAGCGCAACGAGCAGAATGTTTAAAAATACTAATATGCAACAAAGATCGCCCATGCGAACCAAATTGGACACACAATATAGTGTATCAAGAAATATTAAATAGCGCTAGACACTGTACAGTGAACAAAGGTAAACCATACAAATTACAATCACACTTTCCCCATATTCATTTATATTTATATATATATACACACACATATCTATACGTTAACCAAATACGTATTCTATTTACAGGACCTGTTCAATGGCAACAATGCACCGATTAGTTGATGTGACGCCTGAAACACCCATGTGGACATGTGAGGTTCGTGTCGCTCATAAGTCTGCACCTAAGCATAACACAACAACTGGGAAGAGACACCTACATATGTTCCTTGAGGATAAGGAAGTAAGTCATATCTTATAAAGTGCTTAATTGCTTATGATTGTAAATATACCAAATGTAAATGCTTCTTCCTCACTGCACTACCACGTACTATACAAAATTTTCATGAAAAATTACTACGCATTTACTTTTTACGAAATATGATTACTTATTGAGATAGCTACAAACATACTTATCAAATTTAATACAGAGTTTTTAATTTTCCAAAAAATAAACAAACACTTAGATTGGAGTTTTATTCTTACGTGTTTCTTAAAGAATCCATAAAAAGAGAGAATCACTAAATGATTTTAAATATATAATTCGTACATTTCATACTTCATTACACATATGATCAATTTGAACAACAAGCTGAACAAATTTTATACGGGAGTTCAACATAGAGAATTACGAGGTCTAGAACATAGAGAATTAGGAAGTTTACTTCAGCCAAAAAACTACTCCCCAATTCTTTAATGAGTGTTAATTCGTTCTACATCCACTTTAGACACATATCACACCATAATTTTAAAATTAAGTATGGCTGGAAAGTAGGCAAAGTGGAGGAATTTTGTTAGGGACAATAGGCTTAGTGAGGCCAAACAGTGTTACTTTCCATACTACCTTTACGACATCTCATGCATTATTTATATGCCTGTTCTAGCACCAAGTTTTGCTTGAGCTTCTCAAACTATTATTAGCACCCTAATTAACATGTTTTTCCAAGAATTCCTTTTCCTTCTCCTTATTTAGAGTTGCAATTTCAAAACAAAACTTTAGACTCATTTTTCTCCTAACCTTTTTTCTCCTAATCAATAAAACAAATTAAATATTTACAAAATCCAAACATAGTATCAATTGATGACATCCTTGAAATACCATGTTATACATTGAGTTGACGAAATTACAAATTTCCAACAAATAAATTTTACAGATATTCTATACTTCTTCCATCCTTATTTAAATCAATACTAATAATAAAAACTTACAAATTAGATGCTACTTTAATGTTCTGAGGAACCGCAAAAAAAATGTATCCGAATATTGTAAAAACTTCTGAGATAGATTATACTTCACTATTTTCTTCTCCTAGCTTTCCCAGTTCTAAACATATCCCTTAATTCCAATGAGATAACGGAAAATATATACCTCTAACGTGGGAAGACGCGAACGAAAAATGACGTGACTATGATGAGTGTGTTATCATAAGCCACATCACAGTAGCATCAACAACGCCACGCACCCCGCCCTGTACTCCATCTGTACAATGCCAAATTGCCATCCATACATCCATTCATTTATTGCTAACATCCTGACTTAAGATTACGAATTAGTATGTTAAGCTCGCTTCTGTTTAAGGTTCCACTATTAGTTCTCGTAATAAAAAAATTAGACAGCAGAAGTAAATTGCAAAGGAGTTGGAAATCAAAAAATTAGACGACAGAATGTGATGAGATCTAGCTAACATAATATATCTTTGAAAAGGTGAATATTTTGTTATACACACAATGTTTGAACCGAGCACAATATGTTTTAGACAAGAGATCAGAGTCTTGCCGCAACCATCTGCCCTAAACCATTACCAATATTTTCCCAGTGATTTTAAAGTATTTGCTTGAATATCAAATGTTAAAGAAAGATCATATGAAATGTCCATGAATTTATGGTTGATCACTAAATAATCACTACCATTGTTTCTGCATGTGCTTTTAAAGTAGTGTTTTTCATATCAATTGTTAAAAAAGGCCATTATGAAATGTCCATGTTATGTTTTTGCGATTTTTAATGCTTAAAATGTTTACAGGGCATACGCATCTCAGCCATGGTATTTGACCATGACGTAGAGATGTATGATATGACTATGAAGCTCAATTCGTCTTATCACATCTCGAACGCTCATGTTCGCGTACCACAGAACTCCTACAAAGTGCCAGATATGAGGTATGGGTTCACATGGGTTCTCAATCGTAGAACAGCTATTCAACCATGTGAAAATGCAAATGAAACTGAAGTTTTTGAGACTAAAAGGGTCTCCAGATTCAGTGACCTATATCAGCACATGAAGACTGGGCGGGACATATGTAAGCAACATTGCATGTATACACAAATATCACGCACCCACGTTAAACAAGCTGAAATATATATTACAACATACACGGTTAAAATTCCTTGCTTTACGTATTATTAAAAAATTGTATACTGAAGTCTATTTATACCATTGTTAATATTGTAGCAATGGTTGTTGTTGTAATTGATAAACTTCCAAGAGAAACCCAGTCGACTTCAAATGGTGTCCGGTCTATCAAGGATTTCATTGTGGTTGATGAACTGTAAGTAGGACCTATGATTAATCTTATTATATTGTTGAAGTTATTTGCAACATCACTCATACAAATCCATCACAATTCCAACAGACTGAAACCAGTGCAATTCACACTTTGGGATGAGTTGGCGCTAACAAAGGGAGTTGAAATCTTTGAGGAACTAACTCAAAAAAAGTATCCTATAGTGAGCCTAGAAGACATTAAGGCTACCGACTTCAAAGGTACTATTACAACCCTATAACGTATATTACATATTCGCACCAAGTACTAATTTTGCTCTTAATACATAGGGATATCTTTGACTTCAATGTCTCATTCAACAATCACTCTGAATTCCGATTTGCCTCGTGCTGCAGAATTGGAGAAATGGTAATGTCTACCTTATTTTCTTCCATGGCTGCACTATTCTTGTTTACTACGTATTTTTCTCTTTCCCTATTATTCCATTCTGTTTTCTATCTATCGATCTTCTAAATAATTGCAACAAATGAACTGCAGCTTGATTTCCATCGTGTTCTTTTCTTTCCTGTGTTTTGCTGTTTTATTTTATTCCAGTTAGTCTACTTTTATTCCTTTTCAAATTGTAACTATTGTATTTTGTTTTTATTAAACAGACCACTTTCCTAATAAGTGCTTAATATTCAAAGAATTCATTAAGTGCTTAATATGTATCTCAATATGTTTTTTGAGATTTCATGAAAATAAGAATTCAAAGTTAAAGTAATATTCTATCATCCCACTAACAATGAGATAAGAGGCAGTGACACACAAATCATTAAAATGTTGTTAATGTAGTTCTCAAATTTAGAGTAAGGAAATTATTTGGATCGTAATTCGTAAATCGTTAAGCTACTAGCTAAAGTTTAGCTAAAAATAAGGCCTAGATAAAACACACGTAAATGATTTACACGTATAGTATTTATATCTACAAATTTAAAAGGTCTTTTAAGTATTAAAGGCGCTAAATATTAAGTCATTTGTCTTTTTAAAAGGCGCTATATTCCACGTTTCAAGTATTAACAGGTGTGTAACTAAGCATAATAGAGGCCTTATAATTTATTGTAGTGACTAGAAGCAAAATTGACATGGAGACAAAGAGGAAGGCAGGTCATTAGAAAATTGAGATTGATTTTTTGTAGTCTAATTTTATTTATTAAATTGAGTGGTTAAAGTGAGTAACTATACCATAGCTTATTCTCATACGGAATTACATTCTCTCTTGACTTAGCATCCAACAATGCGATATGTTCATGTGTCAACCTCATTGTATATTTTGTAGCCTATTTTTAGCCTGCATGTGGCATGCATCCTTTTAATTATAATGCCTCATTTTTACGTCGTTTTAACTTTTTGTAGAAAAAAAAAACAAATTACACTTGGATAATAAGTATGAACGCGCGTTGGGCATTTTCTTGTGCAACCTTATCATACTTTAATAGTAATCTTGTGTAAATAATGTTACTTTCATGTGAAAATGTTAAAAATATGAAGTTAATAAAATCTGAGTTTCTCAAAATTTGCTCTTGAATTGTCACCAAAATTTCATTAATAGTGTAGATTGATTTTTTTTTTGGAAGCAAAAAACCCATTATATTCATTTAATTGGGTGATTTACAGCTAGACAGTTCAGAAAGTGATATGGTTCCTCCTGGAATATATTAAGAGTTAAAAAGGATCAAACTTATGCAAAATGATGCCGAAACTATAACTGCTAAAGTGAATGTTGATTTTTTTTTAAAGACCACCTTTTGTTTAAAAAAAAAAGTTTCATCAATGAAAGAGTAGAAAGGATTACATAGAAAAGTGAGAAGAACAAAATATACAACAAACGGAAAAGTAGCGGATAGATGAAAGAGTAGAAAGGGTTGCAAAATATAAACAACTTGCAGATTTAGAGCCCAACCGCGGGATAAAACAGAGATCTTTGTAATAGATGAAAATGAAATATATGGAATGCCATATAATCGGCTAAATCCTAAAGTACGAAGCATCTATGGTAAAGAGTTGAATAGGAAACAATTAACTCTCTTCTTCCAATACCTTAAATTGTTGAGCGTGAATATGCACACCATTCTTTCCCCTTTTAACGTTACGGGAATATGTTGTATCTACATATATGCTTATAACATGTGACTGATTACGATCAACCTACGTGTAGGGCTATTGACCACAAGTCCACCCTCGATGCTGTGAAGGCTGGCCGCAAGTTCTTGGATGCTGGCTTCCACCTAGCAAATCCTGACAACGAAACAATCACCCCAATAGCTAAAGTCCCTGCTATCATTCCTCAGGTATGTTGTTATTATATACTTTATTCCTCCCAATGCCTATATGACATGTTTTTCCTAATACCCATTGACAACGTAAAAAACATTGACGACGTATGCAATAAATCACCCAAAAATTTATGTAACCCATGCTATAAATTACTTCAAATCCATTACATTAATGTGACTTATCCATTGTAATTTGTGTAATCCATAAACAATGACAGGGAAGGCCTATTTGGATCAAAGGCACAATCACTTTGGTTTTAGAAAACTATAGCCTCTGGTATGTTGCTTGTAGCCATTGTGCCAAAATAAAATACGCTGGTTGTGATGCAATATTTCACTGCATGAGTTGCGGTCAAGAAAATGCTTATGGCGTTCCAAGGCAAGTACGCCACTTGTATTACACCATACAACATAAGTATACGTCATTTTCCTCAAAAAATCATATTACAACCTTCGCGCAGGGCCAAATTACATGTCACAATCGAAGATGACACAGGATCTGTCAGTGGAATAATGTTTGGCTTGTGCGCTGAAAAGTTATTGCTTATGACAAGCAAGCAAGTCATGTGTTGGAACATATTGTTTTGTTGATGACAAACAACTAGTGTTACTTTTGGTCTATAAGTGATGGCAGGAAAGGAAGATGAGTCGTGCTTTGGAACAAGCCGTAGACCTGAACCCGGAACTATCCTACAACAGACATATATGTTTTGTTGATAACTAACCATGCAGGTGGAACGGCGGACGGAACTATCCTCAGGTCCAAATGGACACTATTAGTGTGTTGTTGACTAAACCTGCAGGTGGAACTAATATTGAACCATTTCTAGCTCCGTGGAATGGTTTGAATTAATATGATAGAATTTATTTGATTATCAATTAATATGCTTTCTTTGATAATACCTTTTATGTGATAAATTGATAATACCTTTTATTATGTGATCACCACTTGGAATTAATTGAATAGGCCACTTACTTTTTAGTAAAGATTATCATAATAAAGCAAGAATATTTTTAATGCATGACCATCTTAGAAGTACGGTGCATAAGTCATTTGAATTTCTTTCCATGCATAATTAAATATTCACCTTATTGAGTTGGCTTATATTGACTAATGCTTTATGAAGAGAATCTCCACTTGCCATGATTGCATGCTTTTTAAAAAGTTGGTCCTATCTAGCTTTATCCATGGAAAGAATCCCTACGTGTTAATTGCATGCTTGTCTATGCTAAGCATTTTTTGACCGTAGCATTTTTTGCTTCTATGTGAATATATCAATTGACCATAGCATGGAAAGAATCCCCACTTGGGTATCCTTCTATCTTTATTATCAATTGACCGTAGCATTTTTTGCATATGCTAAGTGAATATCTTGTCTTTTACAAATGTTGACCGAAGGCACTTTTGGTAGAGTTATTATAGTAGTTGTCTTACAAATGATTGCTTGAATATTTTATTGCTACATTATGTTCGTTGCTTGCCTACATGTTAAGTAAATCAATATTACTTCCTTATATGATGACTCGTAAATCATGAGCAAACTTACTCTTAATTGAGACCGAGTAGGAGAGAGCTACTGGAAGGAAAGTAATTCAAATAATATCAAGGCAAGTCCATTAATCTATCAAGCAACCAACTAAGGAAAGTGGAGCCAACGGACGTCTTGCATGAGGCTATATATATGATGGAAGATCAAGAGAAGAAGGTGTGCTTAACTAGAGAAATATCAAGAGACAGGCTCGAGAAAAATACGAAGCTCAAGGCACCTGAAACTGCTCACTCGGAGTTCTAGATAGAGTTTCTTCTTTCCCTTCTTCATATTGTAATGGGGTTTTGAGGATTGGCTAAGAGTAGCCTCCTCGGGTTGGTTTGTGTGAGTGAGAGCTTTGTTGTAAAGCTGAGAGGCTCTCTACCCACAAGGTAGAGAAGCGTAACTCTTCCTAGAGAGGATAGAGTTGGGGTGGCTCAAGGGTAGACTAGGAGAGTTTCCCTTGTAATCATTCAAAGGCTTTTTAGTGAAGTTGTTAAAATTCCTCCGAGGGAGGTCGAGGTTTTTTAATCCCTTTGAGCCAAGGGATTTTTCCTCGTTAAATTCTTGTGCACTTTACTATTTCGCAACTCCCATCTCCCCACACTAGAACTGTGCGAAAAACTGCCACGGTTCCACACACACACAATTCACCCCCCCCCCCCTCTTGTGTTGCTAACCGTTTTCATCATCATGGAAATAGAATCACAGGTAACATCATCCACAATACCACCCAATTAAATTATCATTTAATGAAACCAAATATACTTGTTTTTTGAATTTGTTTTTTGCATTTGTTTCCTATTGCCAAAAACATTAACTACATTGTAAAATTAATTAAAAATGTCACCCAAAAGATTATTCGCCAACTCTATGCCATAGATTTTTTTACAAAATCATCAAATGAAGCATAATCTCTTATGGAATTTGGGTCCTGTAGAAATATGAATAATATACACATTGTCATTTGTCAAAGTCTAATTTTCTACTAGGTTTAAATTCTATATGAAACCACTCATTGAAATTCTTTTGTACTTGGTAGGGGAAAAAAGCTTCATTCCCATACATAAACAAACGCCTTGCTAAGGAAGAGTACATAGTCCAGTTGAGGTCTTCACCAGACAATTGGAGTTCAAAAAACAACTATCCTCGTACTTCAAAGACATCTTATATCATAACATCTTTGCACGAGTCTTCGTTGCATATAATAAAGATGGATGAAGCAAATGTTGCCGATCACACTGCACCCAGTGAAAGCACAAACACTTCAAGTCCTCCAATGAAACGCATCAAAACAGTGTGACGGAAAATACACAACCATCCAAACCATTCCACGACTCACCAAATTGTGTTATTACATTCAAATACTTTCATTTTTGCAAGACTATGTTCCATTTTGATTTTTGAATGTTATCTCTCCCGCAACCATAAACATATTTTCCCATGATACCCTACTAAGCTTGTTTCCATGATACAATATTATGGCTATTTCTTCTCATTTTAATAAATTGCACACTAATAATGCAATCATGAAATTTTCATTACTCTATTTGGGAGTTCTATTTCAATGTTATTTCAAAAGGGAATACATGTTGTACACACACTACCACACAAACATGATCATTTTCTCCTAGCATATATCCCAATCACCCCTTCTTACACATTCGCCATTACCACTATTATAAAAACACATTGGGCACAATCTCCATCGCGCATCGCGCATTGCGAAAACTAGTACTTTAATACAAGGGTAAAGTTCTGTACATCGGATCCATCCTTATCCCACCGTAGGTGGTAGTGTTTGCTTGAAATGATGATGATGTTAAGGGATGTTCCCAAAATGAAGCAATGAAACATGAAGTCTGTTTTTTTATCCCAAGATGGTAGTGATAAAAAAAAATCCATATTTCATTACTTCATTCTGGGAGCATCCCTTAACCTAAATATGAAATCTATATACATATGAGAAAAAATTATCTCACTTAAATTTTAGTTAGCCGGATTAACTTATACCTAAAAGTACTACGTATGAGAGAGAAAATTATATTGCTTAATTGTTAACCGACTTATTTTATTGTTTGTATATCAAAATTAAATATTGTTATTATAAAATATTATTTTAAAACTTTACTACATATTTAAAATTCTTTGGAAAAAAGTGTTATGATATGTGTTGCAATGTAAGAAAATATTAATTCTTTGCATTCTTTGCACTATGAAATTACATATTTTGTATGTCAATAAATAGTTCAAGATTACAAAATAGTGAATTAAATTTTGTTAAGGTTAAACAAAATCAAAGAATGTTATTTCAAAAAATATAACAATGTGTACAAAAACTACTAAACTTAATATTTGTGAATTTGAAGTGCTTCATTTACAACGGAAAAAATAATAATATTCCAATTTAAAATTAAAGAGTTAGTATTTCAACATAATAAAAAATCTTTATTTTTAGATTTCGAATTTTTAATTTATTTTTGCTATTTTTTAAAATTTATTTTATCTATTTAAAGTCAATAAGGGTACATTTTTTTCTTTATAAGAACATGAGGGGTATTTTTGCACTTTTTAAAAGTTCATAGGTATATATGCACTTCACCATACACTTTAGGGGTGTATTTGTTCCGAAAAATAGAACAAGGGTATATTTGTTCTCACATCAATACGTACTACAGGGGTATACTTGTACCTTTCCCCCCAAAATTAATGTCCAGTCCAGCCTGAACCTAGTAGGCTATTAAAATACTTGTAAGTTCCAGACTTAGCGAGTATTTGCGATTGGGTCTACTATTTTGTTGCATAACGTGAATCAACTTACATCAAGTTCCATTTTCATTAATGTGGTTTTAATTTCGACTTGCATCAAATTACATTTCAATTAATGCGATTTACATTTCGACTTATATCGAGTTACATTTGTTGTTTGCGTATCTAAAAAATCTACAAAATAAATAATTAAATAAATAATTATGAGAAACAAGAAGCGTACGATATATATGATGATGAAATCGAGCCCAATAAATTTTTGTTGTCTCCTTAAGACAAATATGCCCGCAATAAATTTTTGTGGGATAGAACTTTTTTTTCGTTTTCCGAAGGACAACAACAAACTAAACGATGCACTAAAGTGATAGAGTTCGGATGAGGAAGATGATGAAAAAGTTGTTAATTTTTGGACTTTATGGATGTTTTAAAAACGCATGTACCAATTGAGATTTATAGTACTCTGGCCAAGAGACTAATACTAAAAGACACTGGTCTATTTAGAGAAAGGTAGCAACCATTCTCCCAAATGTTGTCTTATCTGAAACTAATTATACTGAAGACATGTTTACATCTTAAAGGCATGCATGAAGTCTAACTCCACGCATACAGTGTGTGGATCTTCCCTCCTTACAAAATTTGGGTGCCCCTTGGAATATCAATATTTGAGTTATAAAAAGCCTTCAATATTGTTTAAGATTTTCAATGTGGGACAAGTTCTACACAAACCTTGTTTCGGAGAGAATTTCAAGGAATAATTTCTCATTCATTTCAAAATGATTTTCTAAAAATAACATATATCTACGTCATGATGTACAATATGTTAGGACTTAATCTCATTAAAAATGAGAAGTCAGTCCTTTACATATTTTAGATCAAAAGTGACCAAAATATTAATTTATAAAATCATTTTTCCAACAAAATTTGCATACACGTATATTTACATTTCAATTTGTCTCAAGTTATATTTTGTATATACGTGATTTATATTACGACTTTCCTCAATTTAAATTTTCCTTACACATAATTTACCTCTCTAATATATATGAAAGGTGATACAATAATTATTGGAGGGAGTAACGCGAGTTAAATTGTGTACTACGTATAACATTTTTTTTATCGTTAAAACCAACAAATATATTAAATCAACATAACGTTCGTCACATGCATGGCTGATAATACAATCAAAGAAAAAGCAGTAAACAAAACGATAAAAAGCCTTATGCATGTCGTCCACCCTCGAATCAGACTTAGAATCTAATCAAATCTATCACCTTTGTAGAGGCAATAACATTCGATGATCCTATAATGGGCTTAACTGAGCCAATGACTGGCAAAGCAGACTTCTTATCACCTGACTTAAATTCTAGAATCTATTTGCTAGGAAATAAGAACACGTCCAAAACAACATGCAATTCGAAAGAAAAACACAAACAGAATAAAACAAAATTAAAACAGAGTTTGCCCATCTTCTTCCAAACCCTAGACTCGCTTGTACTCCATGGCGGCGACTCGGGAGGGGGAAGCCCCCCCCGCTCATCCGCCTTAATAGTCATGCTTTTATATTGATTGACGATATACTCCTTTGACATCCCTTGCTACTGAATCGAAAACAAACTCCGCCACAACTTATCCACCTTTTCTTTGTCAACACTCGACCTTCGACCAGAAATAACAACAGAAGTCAAGCCCTAGCCGCCAAAGTGCTGCATCCCTGGTCCCGAGCTTTCTTGCACGATCAAAATCGGTCGACGGCCGCTCTTCATCGATGACAAAAGCGGAAGAACGAAACTCTAACTCGTAGGGAGATACGGCTAGTAGAGATAGGGGTTCTCCATCCCAATTCCAACAATTGGCCGGAAAAACCAGCCTTACTCCTCGACAATGGCCGATAGGGGACGATTACCTTACGTATAACATTTATATTGAAATATAATACCGGTGGGCGTAGCTCAACTGGTAGCGAGGGAGTGCCACAAGGGTTAGGTCTCGGGTTCGAATCCCGGCAACTGCGATGAGGGGTTACTATGCTGAAAAATGCATAGGGCCTCTGCAAGTACCGGGGACAGAGCCCCACTCTATCTATTTTCCGTTGTGGACGTTGAGAGCTCTTTCTCTCGCAAACCATCCGAGGCTTGTATCTTCCCAACGGAAATATCTCGTTTCTTGCTCAGATTTCCCATTGATCCTCTTGTTTTGAGCTTAGATATTGGTCATATTACCTCCATTGTAGCTTGGGGTGTAATATTTCGAATTTCTGTGCTTGGTTTTGAGGTCTTTGGTCGCTTTTCCAACACCAGTTTACTATTCACACAAGAAGGTCAACACATATAACTAGAGATCTATTCGTTCAAGCTTCGATTTAGACTTGGTTTGAGCTTCTCCTACCTGTGGGGATCAAGCAAATCAAGTTCCTCCCATCATCCAAAACGTCCGTACGGTTGAGTACTATTTACCACTCATACGGATTGAGCTGAAGAATACCGATTAGGGAGCTAGTGAAGGAGGGGTTGCTACAGTTAGCTTCCCCTTCCATGATTTGAACACTCATCATGCCAAAGCCTGCTGGAAGGAAGAAAGATGTACCACCACCCACCAAGTCATCTTCAAGGCTAAAGGCTAAAGCTCAGGCACGTGAAATGGAGGATGTTATTAGTGTTATGGACCAAATAAGGGACACGGACTTTGAGGAGGAAATTGAAACTCATAAGGCAGAGGTTGAAA